ATTTTTAAACCCTCAAAAAGTCTACTATGTAGTGATTCCGCCTGCCATATGGTGAATGCACTTTTATTTGGCCCCTCTGTATTGGTCCTTCTGTATTGGTCCTTCTGAAATTTGTTCTGGCCCCTCTGTATTTGGCCAGTAACCTATGGCATTGTTAGGTGCATTTGATTCCCGGGAATTATATGTTATGTGATGCATTTTATGCTCCCATGCTACTGGGCTATAGTTCGTAGCCTTAGTATGTCGACCTATGAAGTGACTTTCACATTCACGAATAACTCATCGAAAATTAAGATTCTAATAATTGGCTGTGAAATTGAGAAAATAATAATGCTTTGGTTTTGTACAAATTACTAGTTCTTTTTCTTTCTTAATGTTGACCCTAATTTAAAAAGGGTTTATTCTAGAAAATATCACAGTATATTCAGTTGCACATAAGAAAGAAAATATAGTTGTTGCATTCTTTCTTGAAGATGACAATATTATGATATTTAATTGGATCGTATTTTGCTAATTTTGAATTTCTGATGCAAAACTTATAATTCGTTATTTCTGGGAATTATTATTATTATTATTTTGTTAGTTATATAGGAACTCTAGCGGGAAATGTTCTCACTAAGCCCTAGCTCACCCTTTTTGAATGTTATATACAGTCAACAATATGCTTTATTTTGTAAAATGCTTATAACGGTGAGCTTGTGAGTTGTAAGTACTGATTATATACATATATATAGTTGCTCTGAACTTCTATTATCAGCAGGTTTATGAATATTTTGAGATAAACTATATATGATATGAAGTGTCAGACTTGATTCGTGCATAAGACTTGTCTCATGCACGGGTCGCTGCTGTCACGTAACCCGTATTTATGAATTTTTCGCTGCAGTTTCGGGGCGTAACATGTTAATCAATTTACCGTAACTTATTATGCAATGTTATTAAATCAAAAGTTTTCTTATAGAAGTTCTCTCACTCTTTCGGTGAAACTCACTCTTCTGCAGGAATTCCAAATGATCTATGTGAACTCATATCTTAGTAGTTATCCCCTTTCAGTTCATGGAGGAGAGGAAGTTATTTGTAATTTCTCTCTTAAAATGTCAATTCCATGAAATGGTAAGTGTCACTACATGAGTCGAGGAATAATAAATGATATTGTGCACTGATTGTATAGATGAGAGGTATTGTCTATACTTTATCGTACTTATTTGAATTTGAAAACTTACCTGTCAATTTTTTCCCTACTTTCTCATGACGCGAGGCAATAGATATTTCTTAAAAGGATTGTTTTTCCCGTAAATTAGAAAAAAAAAACATAAAACAGCATTTCATAAGTTATGGGGTTTTTAGTCTAATTTACCCAAACTAAGTTGGAATAGCGTTCCGATATGATGCGCGCTCTCAAATTTGGTTTTTTTTAATCATTATATCATATCATACTCACTTTAAAAGCACGAGTTCGGAAAAATCTTTCTATGGTCAGTATTACCCTTAGATTTTTTTAAATATTACATTGTTATCCTAATCTGTTCTAATTTTAATCATATCTTATCTAATTCCATGTAAACTATCTATAGGTCAACAATTTAAAAAAATTATTTTGAATATTTTACTTAAATCTTAATATATCCAAATACTAATTATATCCTATATTAACTCCATATGAACTACCTATAACTCAAAAATATAGAAAAAAATAAGATTAAGAAATTATACTTAGATAACATATTATAATACATGAAGTATTATAAAAAACCCAAAAGTTTCAAAATTTGCATATAATAGCCTTAAAATTTTAAAATTACATAAAACACCTTGACTTTTTAAAACTTAAAAACAAACATGATATCTAAAAATTTAAAACTTGTAATTAACACCCTCAAAATTTTAAAAATTGTAGAAACAACCTTAAAAGTTTAAAGGCTAAATTAAATTTATATACCCTATGTGTTTCGCTCTTGAAGCAGTTATATACCCTAAGTTATAAAATATAGCAAAAAATACCCTAAGTTGGCAAAAAATTGTAAGTTGGTACCTTCTGTTAACCAGCTATGAGAATATTCTCTAGAATATTCACACGTGCTGGACCTATGACCAACTTGAATACTTCTTACCCTCATTTATTGTATTATTTACTGTATTACCTACCCCTCACCCCCGGTGCAAATTAGATTATTTTCATCATTATCTTCTTCTTTTCGTGGCCTCCAACTTCTTCTTCCTCTTTAATATGGGTAACAGTAGAAAACAAGAGCTTTCACTATGTTGGGGGAGGGGGGAGAGGAGGTTAATTCTTAAAGAGGGGCATTATTATCCTTTCATATATTTTTTAACACCGTTAGCTAAATTTAAATAGTTACCAACTCATGATATTTTTTTGCTATGTTTTGTAACTTAGGGTATATAACTACTACAAGAGCAAAACAATAGGGTATATAAGTTCCATTTCGCCATGTTTAAATTATAAAAAAAACATTTTAAAATTCAGAGATTTCAAAACTTAGAAACAATATAAATGGATTTCAGGGATTACCATTGGGTACATAGAAATTTAAAATTAGTAAAAAAATAACCTCAAATGTATAAAAATTACAAAAACTCTCTCAAAAATAAAAAAATATTAAAAAATTCTAAAATTTTAAAACTTATAACTGGTACATATAAAATTTAGAAATTATAAGCAGATTGCTAAAAATTTAAAATTTTTAAAAAACAACCCAAAATTTTAGTAATTATAAAAATACTTTCAAAATTTCAGAGTTACGAGAAATATTCTAACATGTAAAAACTTATCACCAATACATGAAACATGAAAATTATAAGCACCCAACTTAAAATTTAAAATTTTTATAAAATACTATCAAAGTTTTAAAATTGCAAAACACACCCTCAAAAGTTTAAATCACAAAAGGCTGAAATTTGGCAAAGAAAAGAGGAAATATTTGATATTATTACATTAAGATATAATAGGTTAGCATTAATTGATTATAATGTATAAACATTTATCTCTAATGTTGATAATATTTATTTATAAGTTAAAAAAAATATAAGGAGTTATGTATGGAGAAACTATCAGAAAGTTCAGAGATATCCTTTAAAAGAACTAAGTTGTTTTCATTTCAAATGGAAAAGTAAAGGAAATAAACTCAAAATTCAGAAACATTCATGAATCACCTGAATTGACATTGATAAAAAGCATATCGAGCAAAGAAGCATTAATCGAGTTCTTCTTGAAGAACATATTGAACAATTATGTCCTAATTAAAAAAAACAGTATTCATGAAAAGTACAAGAATAATTAGTAAGTACTTATAATTTTTCATACTTTATTCTAAAAATACTAAATGAATCATAAACTTAATATAAATTTTAATATAAATAATCTTGCAATAGAAACTAAAGTGAAGTCATTGATCAACTACATTGTGAGATATAATAAACTAGATAAGATGAGAAAATCACTATAATGGACAAAAAATATGCACATGATACTTAGTTACCATAGTGTATGTAAAAAAATTAAAATTGATATTTTTCTTTTCTCTATATAGTGGCACGACTCTGCAAGTATCCTTATTTGGGGATATGACTACCAACGAAAGATTAATTTTTAAGAACACGATCAAAGATAAGCATGTAATAGTACTGTCAAATTTCAAAATCTTTAAATAAGAAGGTTACATATTTTACAACTAAAATTTTTATTAAAGGCCCCACTAAATATAAAATTTATCTTATACCCGTCTCAAATTTGTATGAAAGATATGCATGTCATCGTAAATTATGTTAATAATATATCAACTTATTGAAGAAATAAGAGATAGATAAGCAAACCAAGCAGACATCCGTATAACACGATAAATAAAAAATATTACACTTTAAAGCTAATATGTAGAGCTCATTCAGAGCAAGCTGCTAAAACAAAAGCATCTTCATCAATACTCTTTATAAATACAACACAAATTTAAAGTATTTAATATTTTTAAAAATAGCTTAATTTTTGAGTAAAATCAGGAATCTTTAGAAGTGATTTTCATAAACTCTTTTAATTTTTTATATGGTTATGCGGGTGCTTTTATCATATAAAAGTATAATAGAGTTAGCATTATTATGATTTTTTTTTCTAAAGTCTATCACTGATTAGCAACAAAATTTATATTCTTTTTAGTTTCATTCTAGCCCATTTTTAATTAATCATCTTGTCTTATTGGCTTTAATTATTCATCCTTCTTTTATAACATTATCTTTTCAAGTGTTTTTCACTTTTACAATATTATACTTTCTTAAGTCAAGCTTGGTTTTATGCCGATCTAAATAACGCGGAAATTCAAATTTCCTTTAGATTATAGTTATTTCTTGTCAATTCAATTATTACATGAAAATTTTAAATTTGGTGTAGCACATTCAAACAAACATTTAAAAAATAATAATCACAATAATAAAATTTAAAAACATAAGTGAGAAAAGCAATCAAAGTGGAACTGAGAAACAAATTTTAGTAAAAAAATAAGTCAAAAATAATTAATCATAATATTTAATCACGTGCATTACACGTGCGTAAATCCTAGTAGATTTTAAATGCAGAAGGACCCAACAATTGCCGACCACCGACACAGTTCGTGGATTGATGTGGATGTGAATGAAGTATAAACTCAGGATAATACTATTCGTTGAACAGTAAAATATTCGGGCCACATACCTGGAAATTATTGAAAAATACAAAAAGAAATCAGCACGTAATCGTGTCTCCAACGAAAAAATTTAGATTAAAGTCGGCCCCCCAATTATACAAAAGCGCTGAATTTTGTGCGATCTGACTGAATCGTCCGCTCGAACTCCACGCAGAACCCTAGGTATCT